AAAAGGAGGAGGATTGGCAATAGATGTTAGCTCAGAGCCAGTCTTCCTCAGCAAAAAAGAGGAGGATTAGCATGGATGTTAGCTCAGGGCTGATCTCCCTCACCAAAAAAAAAAAAAAATTAAATAAAAAAAACATAGATAACAAGCTTTCCATACCCAAAACTGTTTAGACCAATACGATGTAATAAGGCCACACAAGTAAAACGTTGCTGTGGCGACTAATAATATACATTCAGACAAGGTAGTGAAAAAAGACAAATCAGTATTTACCAGAGAATGTCACCTCCAAATTAAGGCCACCCAAATGGTTACCAAGTACTAATGCCAATTCGCTTTCTTAGGTAGTCGAGTAACTTGTACCCCAAAAAACCGATCCAAAACTTAGAACGGGTAAGAGATTACTAGAAGCTGGGCTTGACTGGGCAATTTACAGCTCTGTCGGGGCATTGGTTAACTTAAGAGATGCAAATAATTCCTGTCGGTGACCTTTAGATAACCCCAGAGGGTTTACAGCCCCCTTGGACATCACCCAGTTTTGTTTATAACCCAGCAATTTTAGCCTAACATTTTCTGGTAAATTACTAACATAGGTAATACCTAACTTTTCAAATGCTCTTTAAATCGGTATTGACACGTTTATGGTTCCCTTACTAATAACGTAAATACTATCTTTGAAGCACACTTCTATATTTGCCTAAGAGTCGTGACTTTTACCTCTCAAAAAATTCCTTCATGAGGTAATGAAACTCGGTCCCCAACTTAGTTCTCAAGTTCTCTGAAACGCTCGTACCCGCGGCTGTCTCGGGAGCCGCGTCCGCGGAGCTCCCTCCGCCCAGCCAAGGCCCTCCCACCGCCCGGTAACCCAGCGCCTTCCCGGGGCAAATGAACGGGAGCATCGGCACTAGCAGGCGCGAGGGAGAAAAGAAATGGCCCAATGCCGTCCCACTAGCCCCGTTCGCCGTCGCGCCGCCTCCTTCCATACCAAAAACTGTTTACACCAATACGATGTAATAAGGCCACACAAGTAAAATGTTGCTGTGGCTACTAATAATATACATTCAGACAAGGTAGTGAAAAAAGACAAATCAGTATTTACGGGATTACAGTATTACAAATCAGTACTCCCACGACCACCCATCCTAAGCCAATTCAGGGCCCAGCCCCAACTCCACCAGACCGCATGGCAGTCCCCAGGAGTCTCGGAAAAATAACTTCCAACCTTTACATCTTGCTTGTGTTCCTGACACAGTCTCTATTTCTACCCTCCCTTTATCTCGAATGAGACTTCCCCAACTCGCTAGAGCAAAAACCATCTACAATGGGGTAAGGCGCTGCCTCCAAGACCACGGTCACTCACCGGCGCCATCTTAAAAGCCGGCCGTGCGATCAGAGAGGAAGCGGTGCCGCGCCGCACCTATTTATACAGAAGCGTGCTGCGTCATGCGCCGAGAGCGTGAGCTCGCCGCCTCCCGGAAGAGCACTTGGGGTGGAGCGCGGAGGCCAGTAACCCGGGAAACCGGGGGCGTGGCCGGGGAACCTACGGTCGGTAGGCGGTTAGGTGTCCCGGGAGCGCCTGTGGTGGGCTCTAGTTGAAATGATTCACGGTTCTCCGCTGGTGACGACGCACACCGTTGACCACAGTGGTCTCTGCAGTTACTAGGAGGCCCCTTGCAGATACACACGCCCGAGGGATGCGGGAATCATCTTTCTCTAATCGCCTGGATCTTCTTTCCAATCAGTTCAAGGCAGTGTTTCGGGTTGCTTTGGGATCGCCTGTCTTATATTGCAATTATAATCCTCCTGGGAAAAGTTATTTCTATATCTATGTTTTGTCTATGAGTCTTGTTTTCTAAATGACTGTTGAGGGAAACCGGTGTTTCAGGAAGCCAAAATAAACTCGGTTCTCAAAAAGGAAAAAAAAAATCCTTTAAGAGAAAAACACGTAGTTCTCACTTATTCACTCGTTGGGTGTAATTTATTCTATTTTATCATGGATTTTAGAGTTAACCCTAGGACTCCTGTCTTCCATCCAAAATGCCTCCCAGTTAAAATTCAACAGATATTTGCTTAGACCTAACAACTAAAATGTACAAGGCACACGAGAGTGGATGTGGGCTGGTGACAGTCTTGATGACAAAAGGAAAATACAGCTTTTGAGCTTTGAAGGATTATAAGTTGACGTTTGATTAGAAAAGTGGCAGGCCCCTCAGCGTTTTGCAATATTTTTTGTGGAGGTGAAACTATCTTTGGGGGCGAGGGGGACAGGGTTAGAGGATGGGGTGGACTTTTGTTGTTAATTTACAGAGTGACCTTAGAAAGTGACAACTGTGTATGTCCTTTATGACAGCAATTAGTGATAGTGGGAACTATGCTTTAATGAAGTATACAACCTGTAGGGTCTGAATAGAGGTGTTGAATTCCTAGAAGAAATCCATTTCAAGAAGATTTTTGGTTGGTTGACTCAAGAACCACAATAATTTCATTTCTTTTCCAAACATTAAGGGAAAAAAAGAGCAATTGGCATTTCCTTCTCAAGAGCTGCCCAGGCTGCAAAGCAGACATGATCCTTGTACGATTGGAGATTTTGAAAATAATCCATTAACTGACACATTAATTATTTTATTTTGTTTGTTTTTGGCAGCCTTCCATGTCATGACAAAAACCCCTTAAGAACTATTAAGCCATTTGTACAAAGGGGATATTAAAAACAACATGTGTTTCAAAATAACTAGTAATCTCAAAATAATTAGTTAGAAACTGTAGTGGAAAAAAGATTTAATTAGGAAAGAAAAAACTTAAGAAAAACATTAACCAGAAATGGGCAGATGGTAAGATTATTTATTCATTTTTTTCCCCCCAAAGCCCCAGTAGACAGTTGTATGTCATAGGTTCACATCCTTCTAGTTGCTGTACGTGGGACTCGGCCTCGCGTTGGACGGAGAAGTGGTGCCTTGGGGCGTGCCCGGGATCCGAACCCGGGCCGCCAGCATCCGAGCGCACGCACTTAACCGCTAAGCCACGGAGCCGGCCCAGATGGTAAGATTAAATGTTATAAATAACTCAATTCTTCCCAAATTTTACACACATAGACAGTATATATTAACACAATGCCTGTCCACACCCCATAGGTATTTTTTATTTTGATAATGGATTCTAAAACATATGAAATAATAAGTGTCTGAAAAGAACCAAGACAATTTAGAACAAAGAGGGAAAGTTGTCTCTCTAGCTATTCAAGTATAAGATACTGTAAAATATGCTATATTTCTAATACATTATAAACTTCAGTCATTGAATCTACATAATACTGGAGCCTGAATAGATCAGTAAAATAAAATATAGAAAGATAATATGGCAGATTAGACTCACAGAGAAATCTCTCCATATGTAGCCACCTTAAAAATCTGGCTAAAATAAGTTTTATAGATAATTTCTTTTTTTTTTTTTTTTTTTGCTGGGGAAGATTTGCCCTGAGCTAACATCTGTTGCCAATCTTCTTCTTCTTTTTTTTTTTAATGTGAGCTGCTGCCACAGCATGGCCACTGATAGACAAGTGGTGTGGTTCCACACCCGGGAACCAGGCCCGGGCCACCGAAGCAGAGTGCACCAGACTTTAACCAAGAGGCCATCGAGTCTGGCCTTATAGATAATTTCTAATATATGGTTAAGCTGCTAGAAAAGCAAAAGAATCTTTTGGAGGCAGAAATGACAAGCCCTCATACTTATACAAGTTTGGGGCTAAAATTAGCTCTGCTCAAATGGCATGAAAAAGCTTAAACCTAAAAATATAGTTTAAAGTGTGCTTGGATTCGTAGTGCCAGACAGAAGCAAAGGCAAATGCTCTCTGGAGAAATGCACTTTAAATCCAAGCACAAAGTATTCCCTGAGATAAACTTACAGAAATATGAGCTGCCAATTTTTTTTTAAATCACTAAATACACAGCAAAACAAGCCACCATGAATGAAAATCAACCCTAAAAACCTATAAAATCAGACCCAAATAAGAGACTGTATACATTGGGATTATAACATACAGAATATAAAATAAGTATCTTTAATATATTTAAAAGCTAAAAGTATTTAAAATATGGTAAGAGAACCAGGGACAATCAAAATTGGCCAGGAATTTTAAAAAGAACAAAATAGAACTTCTAGAAATTAAAAATGGAAAAACTTTAGTTAGAAAGAGTAGATGAGATAAACAGGAGAGCAGACACAGCTGCAAAGAAAATTAGTGAATGAGAAATTACTTAGAATGCAAAATAGAAAAGCAAAGAGATAGAAAATATAAAAGGCAGGTTAAGAGACAAGGATGTCAGAGTAAGAATGTTCCAGTTATGTCAAATGGGAGATCTAGAAGGATATAATAGAAAAAATGGGGGAAAGGCAAAATTTAGAGAAATGATGGCTGAATTCTCAAATTCAGGAAGCCGAGTAAACCTCAAGCAGGATAACTTAAAAGAAACACACACCTAAATACATTGTACTGAAACTTCAAAACACAAAGACAAGATTATTTCAAAAGCATCCTGAGAGAAAAGGCAAAATGTTTACTAAAAGGAGTTATATTAACAGCTGACTTCACATCAGCTTCAATGGGAGTATCAGAAGCAGAAGATTATTATATTCAAAGTGCTGAGAGAAAATAGCTGTCTACGTAGAGCTACAAAGTATAAAACTATAGAGTAAAGATGCATTTAAGACATTTTTAGGTAACAGAACTGAAAGTTTGCTGCCAACAGACCCCCCCCAGTAAAGGAATTCTGAAGGATATACTCCAGGAGGAAGAAAAATGATCCTAGAAAGGTCTTTATGCCAAAAGAAATAGTCAGCAAAGAAAATGGCAAACTTGTGAGTAAATCTAAACATACACCAACTGTATAAAAAAGTAACAATCATGTTTATTTTGTGGGCTTAGGGTGCTGGTAATGTTCTGTTTCTTGATCTGGGTGATGGTTACATGAGTGTGTTTAGTTTGTTAAAATTCATCAAGCTGTAAACTTATAATCTGTGCATTTTCTATATATGTATATGTTACATTTCAATTAAAAATGATAATAGAGTAGTTTACATTACTGTATGCCAAAATATGACAAATTCGATGAAACAAATGAATTCCTAGAAAAATACAACTTAGAACTTACACAAGAAGAAACAGAAAATCTGAATAGTCCTATATCTTTTAAATAAATTGAATTTGTAGTTAAAACCTTCCTACAAGAAAGACACCCAAATAGCTTCACCAGTGAATTCTACCAAACAATTGAGGAAGAAATAATGCCAATTGTAACAAATTCTTTTTATGCCCAAACTCACAGTCTTTCAATTTATCTTTTAATCCCAAAGAAGAGAGCATTTATCCATAGTTTCCTGTCCCCTATTGGTCAATGATTGTCCATGGGCATTAGCTCCCTTGAATTTCCAGGTTGTACACATGTGAGTGAGTGTTGGTGGGGAGGTTCCCACAGGCATCCCACACCTCACGTCAGAGAAGCCATGGGGTAGGTGAAAAAATGTTGGGGAGGTGCTGTCAAGTTACACCTGCCCCAAACTGGTTGCTGCGCCCTTCTTCTTTCTCTTGAGTGGACAGTTCAGAAGTACATTCCACATCACTACATGGAAGATCCCAGCAGGACTAAGCCTCATTTGTCCCCAGCACATTTTTTTTTTTTGCTTTTGCTCCCTCTCACCAGTGAATTCTACCAAACAATTTTACACTTCCAAATTCCTTACTTCTGTTACCTGGAATCATTTCCCAAAATAAACCAAATGCACGCAGGCAATAGGCTAAGACACCAATTTTACACAAATTCTTTCAGTCATCAACTTATTTTGTGAGGCCAGCATAAATTTGATATTAAAAACTGACAAGGACATTTTGAGAAAGGAAAATTATAGTCCAGTCTCATTCGTGAAATTGTTATAATCACAAATATATGTCATATGTTATAATGTTATATATTAAACTCACAGATATATATGTTATAATCACAGATATGTTATTATATGTTATATGTTATAATCACAGATATGTGATTCTTATATGTTATCATCACAGATATATTATTAGCAAGCCATATCCAGAAATCACACATTATATGTTATATGTTATAATCACAGATATATGTTATGTTATATATATGTTATATTATATGTTATATTATATGTTATATGTTACCATCACAGATATATTGTTAGCAACCCAAATCTAGCAATATGTCATGCAGCAAGTTTGGTGATAATGTCATTATTTGTAGTTGATATGTAATTGTGTATGTAAACAATTTTTTAAAATCTACAGAAAAATTATCAGAATTAATATGTGACTTTATAAAGATTGCTAGATACAAAGTTCATGTACAAAAATCAATCGCATATCTATA